CCCCCTGCCCTAGGCAATCATTACGGTACTTCCTGTATCTATTATGGACATTGCATATAAATGTAACCATACATTGTACGGTCCTTAGTGTTTGCCTTTTTCCACTTAGCGTGATGTTTTTGAGGTTTATCCATGTATCAGTACTTTGTTCCTTTTTATTGCTCAGTAATATTCCACTATAGGGATACACCAACCAGTTGCTTATCCACCAACCAGCTGCTAGACATTTGGGTCATTTCTACTTTTTAGCCACTATGAATAATGCTGCTATGAACATTTGTGGGCAAGACTTTGGTTTTTTGGGTATATACTTAGAAGCAGAATTGCTGAGTCATGATAGATCTATGTTTGACATTCTCGGAAACTCCCAGACTTCTCCAAAGTGGCTGCACAGTGTTATGTTCTCACCAGTATCCTAGTCAACACCTGTCTTTTTGATTATCTTCATTCTAGAGGGTGTGAAGGCACGTGTGTCTTTAAGTTGGCTTTACCAATTTGCGCTCCCACCAAAGGTGTCTACTTAATAGCACCTATTTCTCCACACCCTCACCAATAATTGCTATTATTAATCTATTTGAGTTTTGCTTTGTATTTATATAAAACTGTCTCATGTTAATTTGCCTTTTGCTGCTTCTGGTGACACTAGAGCATCTCTCCATATGTTGATGGGCCTTTCGTATTTCTCTTGTGAACTGCCTGTTACCTATTTGTTCATTTTTTATTGGATTGACATTTGCAGACACCTATGTAATGCAGGCATTATTCATTTGCTGCTGTACATGTAGTATATGAGTTACTTGCCTTTTGACCCTTAAAAATATTTTTTTGTACAAAAATGTTTCATTTTCACTAGCTGTATTTGCCAGTTTTCTTGATTATAGATTTTGGGTTAGTTGTCTTTCTTAGGAAAGCCCCTCCTATTCTCAGAATTATAGTTTTATTTTTATGTGAACACTTTAATAAATTTGGCAATCAGTCTTACATATGGTGTTAGATAGAGGAATACGTATTTGTTTGGTTCCAACGGCCCCAAAACTTTTCACTGAATTGTTTATCTTTTCCTAACTGATTTGAAATAAAATTCTGCCTCAATCATAAAGTAAATTTCAGTATGTAAATGAGTCTCCTTTTAGGCTTTCTATTCTGTTCCAGTGATCTATTTATCTGCTCTGGGGCAGTATCTGCCCAAATTACTGTTGCTTAAAATTGTTTTGATATTTAGACAGGCAAGTCCCCTTTCATAATTCTTTTTTTAAAATGATTTTATTTTTTAAAAGATTTTATTTATTTGAGAGAGAGCGCGTGAGAGCACGAGCAGGTGGGGGGAGGGGCAGAGGGAGAAGCTGGCTCCCTGCTCAGCAGGGAGCCAGATGCGGGGCTCGATCCCAGGACCCCGGGATCATGACCTGAGCCGAAGGCAGACACTTAACCCACTGAGCCACCCAGGCCCCCCCACTTTCATAATTCTTAAATTAAAGGAAAATATCTCTGTAAGTCTAAGTGTAATGGAAAGGTTTTTGGTTCAAGGAGACTCGTACTGTAAGAAAAATGATAGAACTACCTAAAGGGTTAAAATGGAAAACCCAGGGTGACTTCACATCCTCTAGATCTATCACTACTAAAAGTGCAATAGCACTTTTGTCCACTAACTCTCCTGTGCACCCCTCATGCCAGACGGTGATCCCCATGTTCCATTCTGCATCAAGAGGAACCAGGACTCCTTGAAAGGCACATATATGCCCCATGTCAGGAAAAAAAAAATTAAGATGGTCTGAAACATCCTACTGTTGCAACAAAGTAAGGTTGTTTTCCTATCTGAAGCAATATTTTATAAAACTCAGAAAACATAGGAATAACCTTGAGGGGCTGCCACTAGCCAAGTTATAAAATTCTGAGCATCCAAAAAAAAAAAAAAGGAGATAAAAATTCTAAGAAGCTGAATCTACAAAAGGCCAGATTCATGATACCCAAAAGAGAAAAATGAATCTTAATACAAACTAAGGATGGATATGTTTAAAGAATTATTCTATATGAGAGTATTTTGTTCTAAGAATACATATTTTCATAAAGCACAGGCATGTGCTTATTTCTAGCTATCTATACAGGAAAGAATAAATAGAGGAAACTCGAAAAAGTAGTACAAGAAGAAGGAAGACTGATTGTCATCAGTGGTCACATGTCACATATAATAACCAAGAAGAAAAGGAGTCACTGACAAGATGCAGTAACAAATTTAAATAGAACAGTATGCCCAAGATAATAGCCAGATGTCTCAAAGAATTCACCACACATACGTGATGATTCTTTACAGACAAAAATCTCAACATGATCCTACTAATTAACCTCAATATAATCCTACTGATCCTACAGGATATCGATAAGGCATATCTAATTTTCAATAATGCTAATAGACAAGATCAATGTAGCGTAAAGGCAGGACGAGTTAGGCAATGCCGACCGCGCAAAATTAAAGAATACTTCACTTCTGGGAAAAGACACCAAGTTCCAAAAAATTAAAGTAATATATATAGTAGGATATTAAAAATCCCATGAGGAAGCAAGTAAGAAGTAATTATAAAAAGACTTAATCCAAGGCCTGTGGCTCATGGTTCAATCGGCTTTGCACTGTGGGGCCAGGCTCCCTGTCCTTCGATGGTGCTCTCATTCTGAGGAATTCCTTTTCTTTTAGGCTTGGTAGAAGATTACTACAAGCCCAGGAAATAGAGTAAGATATGACTGAACCCTTCGGATGATATGAAAATAAATACAGCCATAATAGTAGGAAAGTATTTTTAAAGTAAAAAATTGGGGGACATAAAGCTCAAAAGTTGACTTGTAAAATAGGTTTATGTAAGTTATTTTTAATACTGTGTTAACCACTGTATTCGAGTACAATGGCTAATTTTATGTGTCGACCTGACTGGGCCACAGGGTACCCAGATTAAACATTATTTCCGCGTGTGTCCATGCGAGTATTTCCAGAGGAGACTGGCATTTGGATCAGTGGGCTCAGTAGGCTGCCCTCCCCAGGGTGGGGGGCCTCAACTAATTCACAGAGGGCCTGCGTGAACAGAACAAAAGGGGAAGGAAAGGAGGTTTCGCTCCGTTTCTCTTTCTCTGCCTGACTTCTGAGCTGGAACAGGGGTCTCCTGCTTTCAGACTTACACCTTCAGACTCAAGCTTAATCACACCACTGGCTGGTTCTCCTGGGTCTCCAGGATGCAGACAGCAGATGGTGGGACTTCTCAGCCTCCATAACTGCATGAGCCAATTCCTAAGTCTGTCTGTCTACCTATCAATCAATCATATATTTCACTAAACCTTTCTTATTTCTTCTTGGCTCTGTTTCTCCAGAGAACCCGAACTGACACATCCAGCATGGTTCACGTACTGTTTGAGTTTTGAAAGGTACAAAATAGGCAGGCATACTAAATCTGCAGTTTAAGAGGTTTGAGACAATTTAATTAGTTTAAATTCACAATAAATGCTCAAATGTCCAAGAAAAACATGTTTGCTTCTTTCCTTCCTTGATAATTCAGCCACAAAGCCACTAGACGGAACCAGAGTGGGGATGGTGCTGAGTGAAGGCAGGAGGTGGGTTAGGTATGGGGGGGTGGTTGTGGAAATTAATAAGTACATGGAGAAGCAGTTTGCTGCTAGAGAAAGGAGCTACAAATATGGAAACAGGAAAGCTAGAAGGTACTATTAGGTTAGATTTGAGAGTATTAATATGAACTCATGATTTTCAGTAACTAGAGATATAAAAATAAATACCAATGCAGATGTGTAAATATATATTTACATGGACACACACAGATATTGTGTGTGTCCATGTAAACCTTGAGGGGCCTGGGAGCAACAACACCCAAGCAGCAATCAGCATACTCTCAGTAAGTAACCAAGCGTCCTTTTTACCGAACTCTGGTTGGCAATTATCATCTTGCTAGGATATCTAGGAACAAGTGGGAAGATGTTGAAAACATCCCCAGTTGATAATCAGACTGCATCTTCTCAAGAGGAAACAAAAAGGAAGAAATTGTAATTGTGAGGCTTCCTCATAAAGATTTTATTTACCCTAAGACCATAGAAAGAAAACATTCCATTTCTCATTATACTAGTAAATGTAAGCCTGGCAGTTTTATTCTAATACTTTTTAGGTGCACTTGGCATTTCAAATGTTATCAAACACTTTAATTGCCCTGTCTTTTTTCAAATCTATTACTATTACTCTAAGAAACAAACAAGCATAGAGTGGCTCCAGGAAACAGAGTAACAGCCTCGAATTGCGCCCTTGGGAAGCTGCCTGCTTGCATTCCAAGAAGGAAGCTACCACACAAACCATTTTGGAGCCCATCTTCTGCACTGGCCCTTAGAACTCACAGTATACCCTTAGAGGCAGGAAATCTGCACTGCCCTGAGGACATCTGATTTTCAAAATAGAGTCCAAAGACACTAGCAGTTGGGTCATCAAGCTGAGTAATAACTGGGGGCTCGAAAATAAAGGCACAAAGAGACCAGAATCTCCGTAACTATTTTAAATAATAGTACAACGTCATCACGTGTAGAGTTTCCCAAGATAACTTTTTGAGGATTACATTAATTTAGCAGAGTAAATAGAGTAATTTCATGGTCACACTTCAGATATGTCATATGTACTAGCTCACAGCATTAAAAAGTGGCCCTTACCAAAATATACTTCCCACTGTCCTACCAAGCGACCTAAATTTCAGAATACTTTGATCTGAAGGACTGACCGCGACTGCTAACATACCACATTATACAAAAAGTAGCGTGATCTCTTGGCATGAATTTGCTTGACACAGTGAATTGTCAGCCTGACTGACACAACGCAGAGGACATAACTAATTTGGGGTGGGGGGCTGTCAAAGAGGACAGTCACCAAAGGAGACCCTAAAACCACCTTCTATTCCTTGAGCTGAACACAGCGCCCCCACCTTCAGTGCCAGACATCCATCTCCAACAGATCAGACAGACACAGCTTCATGGTCCAAGCGTGTGGTGATTTTTATTAAGAATAACTTTGGTTCTAAGAATTCCACCCTCAATTCTGTAATACTTTCCATTAAAAACAATTGTACAAGAGCAAATACAAAAAATATTAAATTATGAAAACAAATCCATTAAGGCTCCCTTTATATATACTATATACACTCAAACAAGTCAAGATTTTTCAGAGTAGAAGAATAAAGTCAACCGTTTGTTGTAGCTTAGAAAGCAACACTACTTTACTACCAGGAGACTATAAAACACTGAACTAGTTTAAGAAAACCACAGAGTGGAAAAATGGAGCCATTTTCGTCAAAAAGTGGCTCAAAGCACAAAACTGCTCGGATGTTCGTTGAGTCCTAGGAGTTTGGACTGTACGGTATTAATGTGTGGAGGGGAGACGGGCGCCCTTTGAAACTCAGGCTTGTGAGCCGAGCTAATCTGACAACTTCAGAGAGCTTCTCTACCTGTACATTCCACCATTTGGTCATAAGACATCACTTCACACTATTTACAAGTCTTTTGGCCAGACTTTGTACTACTCACTACACGTCATTGTGCAGACTGGTGAGTGCGATCGGGAAGGAAATGCTTTTGTAATTTTTCTTCCCAGTGAAGAATGAATTCTAGGTAAGTTCTAGGAACAGAATCAGTCCTGCTAACGGGGCCTGTCAGGGCCCTTGAGAATTTTATCAAGTGGCAGAATTGCTTCAAGGGCACAGGACTTAAGATCCAACATCCAGTTAGGTGAGAAGCTATGAGCCAGTCATGAATCTTCATTTTGCAAATTTCATCATCAGCCCATAGACACAAAAAAAGCACTCCAATCAATGTGTGATCAGAAAGGTACCTTCAAGATGATCATTTAACATATTTTCTTCTCTCAAAAGCTAGAAGGATGGGAAAAAAACAGTTACCACTCCATCCTTCAAAAGCAAACTATTATAGAGCAACACTTTATCTTAAGCATCTCATATTTTATTAATACTTACTGATGAGAAACCACCCATTTTAGGTGTAATCGACATGTCCTCTGACTAGCAGTATATTGTCATCGTGTTTACCTTTATCTTGTTCACATGAGGATTGAATATGAGCCTGTCAACTATGAAAACATAAAGCATTCCCATAGAAAGCTAATTTCTACTATGCTTATTAGGATTAAAAGCTTGGGATCCAGTTTTCTATGAGCCTTTAAAGGAAGTTTAAGAAGACTCTTCACTGAAGAAATGACTGGCTGAATCATCTTGATGGAGAACATACTGAATCCACATAAATTCTTCCAGATCACCCCAAGTAGAATATACCCCTGCCCATACCAGCAGTAATCAAATGCATTTTGCATCAGGATTTTGCTGCTCGACTGGGACTTCACTTCGGGGAGCAAGCTGGCTAGCGTGCGGAAGCTGGGCAGTCTCTCCCTTCACCTTGGTGCTTCCTGAGATGCTGTACAGTAGTCATCACCTCCAACAGAGCGGGGGAACAATCTTTCTTCACAAGAAAAAAAAGCGAAGCAGCATGTGATCCTTCATCTGAAATTTTCAAAACTTGGATTCTAATGATACTCAAAATGCACAAATGCTACCCACCTTCCAGCTAGGCCTCCTGGAGACCAACCTACGTTTGTTTCACATTAAATTACCCAAAGAACTCCTCCTTGATCTTTGGAGGAGTTTGGGAGCGTTCCCCAGACTGCTCTCAAAGATTTGCACCCTCTATTTTTGACACTGAAGTTGGGTAATATGGACTAGTTTTTCTTCTCTGAAGGACTGGGAGACTGTTTCATATAAAAGGATTAGCTCAGCAAGAAATTCAAAAACCAAACCAAACAAAATTCTAACAGTTATCAAAGCAATAGGTGGATTTGTATGATGTGCCTTCTCCGAACTGGAATGTCACCATAGCACATTCTAATATCAGAGAACCAAAAGGAATTAAAATAAGATCAAGATGAACATTTATGTGTTTTTCTGTATCTTTTACATGTATTTTTTTCCATATTTTTAAACCTTCTCACCCTATTTCTGAATCTTAATGTCAAAAAAGGTAACAGCTGTGTTCAACATTAACGCTCTTGGGTGTCGATATAACACAGGTGAAAGTAAAATGAAACAAGAAAATTCTAGATTCTCAAAAAGGACTTCACAAATATTGGATGTAACAGGTCAAACATCATCCTATGTGATCTAAATTATCTAACAGATAACTAAAGGAAGAACCAAAACACATTTTCTTTAGATTTTAGAAGAAAAAAGGCTCTGTGCCCCATTAAACTTGGACTGGAAGAAAAACCAAGTAGTGCAACTCTCTAGAATTTATTCCAGTGTCCTCTTTTTTGCTGTTGTGGGGTTTTTTTGTTTGTTTGTTTTTGTTTTTGTTTTTTTTAAAGTCTTTGAACACAGGTTCAACTTATCCCAACTTAAGTGCTGGTCAACGTCCTTCGTTTGGCGAATAGGAATTGCAACTGTCACAGATCATTTATCCACCCAGATTGTAGGAAAACCAAAACCAAATCCTTTTTAAAGTAACAATTCTCTGCTGGCTGGGGTTCTCTCCAGGGGCTTTGGCCCTGAGATTAAGCGTTGGTTGAGGAGGCGCCTGCTCACAGCTTCCCTGCGTGGTGGGCTGGGCACGCGGTCTCTGTCACCGGGGCCTACGACTCCTGCGCTTGGGCCACTTCTTGGCCTGTTCTCCTGAGATTGCCTTTAACCTTCACAAACTCTGGGGCATTTTCTTGTTCTTCTTGCAATTTCTGTTTCTCAAGTTCAAGCTAAATGAAATTCAGAAACAGGAAAATTATTTACATACTGAGAGGCTTTCCAAAACATTCCTTCACTTTCCAAAGTCCCTAATACCTTCTATCCCCCAGGGGAAGACATTCACTCCTGGTCTCCATCTTACGTGTACACATATGCGTATGTGTATGGGCCCTGCAGCCGTCCTGCACAGGGGCAGCAACCCCCTGGTTAGTACTACCAGCAACAGCACAGACAATGAGAGCCCAAAATCAAGGCTAAGGAAAAAAGATCCTGAGACCAATGCACAGTCTGCTCTGCATGCAGTTTCAGTGAAGTTGAATTTCACTCAATTGCTTGTGCTCCCAACACTCTGCTGTGAGTTCAGGGATATTCTCCAGTTTGGGTTTTGCCTCCTGAATCTCTTCTGAGTCCTCAGTAGAATCCTTGTCTTTACCTTGAATGTATTTTAGCCCATTTGCTGACATTCTGTCTCATATTTTCCTTTTGTACAATAAAAATTTACATCTGATAGGTCTGGCAATTTCTGCTTGTTACAACATCCTTATTTCTCAGGACAGAAAAGATAACTTTTGAGTTGAGTCAAACAAAGAAAGACAAATACTGCATGATCTCTCTTGTATGTGGAATCTAAAAAAGCCCCAAAATTGTAAAAGCAGAGAGTAAAATGGTGGCTCCCAGGGGCTGGGGAAATGGGAGAGATGCTGTTTAAGGGTATGTACTTGTAGCCAGTAGATACAGAAGTCCTGGAGACCTAATACACAGGACAGTTGTTACAGTCAACAAAACTACACTATGGACATTCAACTTGCTAAGTGACTAGATCTTCACTGTTCCTAGAACCAGAAGAAATGTAACTCTGTGATGTGACAGAGGTGCTAGCTAAGCCTCAGGGCCAAACATACCTCAGTAAAAATGTACCAAGTCAACACGCTGTGCGCCTTCAACTTACACAATACTGAATGTCAAATATATCTCACTAAAGGAAATGACAACTTTCATCCCCATCACTCTTACCTGCTCCAGCTTCTGCTGCCGTTTTAATAGTTCTATTTCCAAGTCAGATTTCTTCTTTTGTGCTTCTTCTTCTTTCTGCTTTATTACTTGATCTCGTTTTCTCTTTTCCATCACTTTTTGCAATTCTGGCTTGTTCTGAGGGGCAAGACCCCTGCAAAAAATAAATAAATAAGAACAAAATTAGAATGTCTTAATCTAAAAAAAAAAAGAAAAGAGAACAAAGTTTTAATCTAATGGACACATCCTTCATAAACAGAAATTTAAGGTATCAGCCACAGAAAATGAGACTACTAAATTAGCATTACTATGATGCATACTACCAGTTAGTCAACACAGGTGGTATCAGAAATGCACGAGCATGAAAGAAAGGGCAAGAACAACGTCCAAGAGTAAGCAAAATCCACTATTCAATAAAAATGTATTGAGCACCTACTATGTGCCAGATACTACCCTATACAAAGGTTAGTAAAAATGGTTTGGGTGGGGAAGGTTGGAACAGCATGCTCATTCAATGGGTATTATGATCACTCATGATGATGATGATGGAGATGGAGAAGAAGATGGCGGAGGTGGAGATGATGGAGAAGATGAGATGACAGAGATGGAGAGGACAGAGATGGTGGAGATGGTGATGATGGAGATGAGCAGAATATGAGGTGCTTCCACTTGGAAGTTTTAGGGGAAGCTTCCCAAGATGGAGCCCCTGATCCCATGTATAAAAGTAGCCAGAGATAGGCTAGTACAGAAATTTAAACAGCATAATGGCCGTGGACTCCTCTTCTAAAATTCTCAGATTTGTCAGAGGGCTCTTGAATATGTACAGGTACGTCTCAGATGTCATCAGCTCCTGGGGGTGCATGGCCCACGGGGCACTCTGCTCCGGAGACTCCCAGTGCTCCTCGCAGTGGAACTACTTCAGATGTGCTGTTTACTACTGACGATGCACGGACATCAGGCTGCAGGGAAGTTCTACATTTCTGAGAGAGAAATTACGCTGCCATCTCTTGAGATGGGGAGAAACAAAACCAAAGCTTAGACCATTCGCTAGCACCCCTCCACCCAAAATCCCTGAAGTAAGTCAAGGGCATCTCCTTAGATGGAATGTCATATTTAACTGTTAGCTAGGACTCTCCTTGTCTCCAGTTTTCTACCATTTCCTGAAGATTTCTCCAGTCCAGGCTTTCAAGGTGCTGGCTTTGCCAACCGATCTCCTCCTGTCTTCCCTTTCTCTGTAGCAAGTCTCTCCCAGCTCTTAAGTCATCTCAATTTGGTATTGACATTTACTAAGAGCATTTAAAATAAAAATGAAACCACAAAACAGGAAGAACACTGTCAGTTTCAGGCAACACAGGGCATTAAGTGATGGTGGGCATATTCACTCTCGTGCATCCACACGTGCACACTTGACCCCACAGGGACCAGGCTTTTCTGGGCAGCAGGAAGGGCCCTGCTGAATCCACCCAGGACTGAGATTGGCCCAGGCACCTTCCCATGCACCGTCTGGTCCTGCTGATGGTGACTGCTAGTCTATAAATCAGACGTTCCTGATAAATGGTTGTTCCCTAAACTATGTCAATCAACCAATGTGTCTCAGCATCTAGGCGTCATCTGAGTAACTGTTAAATCTAACAACAATTTCCAAAGTGTGTGCTCTGGTTGTAAGAAACTCAACAACACACTCATCTCAATGTTCTTTCAAGCTCACACTATGACATCTGTGAATGAATCCTCAATTTCATACTTCTTCATTTATCTAACTATAATTTTTAAAAATTCTGGCATCTCTTCTATCTACATTTTTTTTAAATCACAAATTTTTCAAAGTTGTTGTTTACAGACTAAAGATCAGTATATTCCATCACTACAGATAAAGGATAGTCAAAATAACATATATGTCTCCACTTTCCCAATTTTCATTAGAACTTTTGATAAAAAAGAAAGAAAAATATTAAAATTCAGCCAAAATAAAAGAAGCAAAAGACAAGTGTAACTTTTATAATTTAGTTAGTTTGTTTTGCAGTTACTAAGCTCTTATGATGTCGACAGAAGTATGGACAGACGATTCTGGAAATTAAATATTATGTGCAATAAAAACTGCTTATGGTACTTTGCTCACAACAAATGTAGGAAAATTTGTTTGTAAATAATCTGAGTAAAGACCTGCTCCGTTTCATGATTATTAAAATGCCTCAGTACGACAGCACAGACAGAATTAAGGGATTTAAATTTTAGGATTAAGAATTTAGCTATCTGCATAATTTAAACTTCAAACATTTTCTTTTCCCTTTACTTCATTGACAAAATTAACCTCAACGGTTATTAAATTCTTCTGGATTATGCAAAGGCTGTTGAACAAACTTTAATGTATGAACACTAAGATGACATTCTGTTGCAGCCTATGAATGGGTTTAACTAATATCCAGTATTCATTTTCTAGTCAAAGATTTTACACAATGGTGGCAGTAAGATAAAATATTTAGTCACAGAAGGCTCAGGAAAATGGTGCTTATCTGATAAATGTTCTGCACTTAACAGCAGTCAAAAAGTCATACAAATTTAGTTAATATTTTATCACAACAGATCACTTCACTTTCTGTGCTGAATGGAAAAAGTCAAGCACCACCCATATGATTCTGAGTCAAAAACTGGATCAGATTACAGAGAGGCTCAGAAATGAGCCTCTCCAAATCTCATAAAGACTACAGTGTCATTCTGTGTGTGGTTAACAGCTGATTCGCTTTAATCAATTGTGACATATATAATTAACAAGTACTTTCAACTCCTTTATGACTGACAGGTGCTCAAGTCCTGGTGGCTTTGAACCACTCAACACCAACAGTTATTTCTGCTTCCTGTGGTTGTGGCCTGATGAGTGGTTGTTCCCTAAATTATGTCAATCAACCAACGTGTCTCAGCATCTAGGAGTCATCTGAGTAACTGTTAAATCAGAAGGCCAAGACAATTTTAAAAATTAATATGTGCTCCAGAGGCACCTGGGTGGAGCAGTTGGTCAAGTGTCCGACTCTTGGTTTTGGCTCAGATCGCTGGGGTCATGGGATCGAGCCCCACGTCAGGATCCCCACTCAGCATGGAGTCTGCTTAAGTTTCTCCTTCCCTCTCCCTCTGCCCCTCCCCCCTTCTCTAAAATAAATTTTAAAAAATTAGTGTGTGCTCTTTACAAAATAACGGGTTAGGTGACATATACATATATGTAAAATAAAAAGTAAAGCACACCCAAACTCCTCCTGTTAAACAAATCCTGGGAGCACCACTTACACTGTATTCTATGTGGACAGAATTGTACAAGGTAGAGGCCCTGGCCCCATGACGCTTCCCATTCTCACACCCAGAGATAACTAAGAGTTCGGTCTGTGCTCTTCCATACCTTCTACAGCCTTGCAGAGCTCGTCCTCATTCTTCCCAACATCTGCCCAAGACCTCACAGTACAGAAGTGCCATAATTTTCCCACTCCCCTGACAGACATTTAGGTTGTTTCCAATCGTTCCTTATTAAAAGCAATGAGGCAATGAACTTCCTTGTACATGTAAACTTACACTCTTATGTAAGTATTTCTGTTGGCTAGATTCATAGAAGTAGAACTGCTGGCTAAGCTTCTACACATTTTATATTTTGATGGGTATTGCCAAAGTGCCCTCCAAAAAAGCCTGCAACAATTTATATTTCCACCACCAGTGACAGAAATGTACAGACAACTTTTAAAGTTACATTTTACCTTTCACATAAATCACTGAATACACCCAGGGGCCGCCAGGAAGGGTCTACATTCACTCCTCCTTCACCCCAGATGCATCAGGCTCACAAAGGTGAAAGAATGGTCTACATTCCCTCCACCTCCACCCCAAGAACAGCTCCCCACACACCCAGCCAAACATCTCCTGGTCCAAATTTTTTTCTTAGGGTGGAGGGGGAGGGTTGCCTTTGGATTTCCAGCCCTTTCTTTAATCTTGGAATCTTCCGCTATGGCCTGTCTTTTTTTTTTTTTTTTTTT